GCTGGGCACTCCCCCCCCCCCCCCCTTAGCCTGGCTCTGTCACCGCCAGGCTCCCCTCACTCCCCAGCGCTGGCACTGCCTTGAAGCTGTGTTGCTCTCCATTGCTGCTGGAGATCTGTTCGAGGCCTATGGCCTTGGAACTCGAGGGTTTCTGTAGCTGCAGCGGCACCTTTGGTGAGCTACAAGCCTAAGATAGCCATTGGAGATAGCCATAATACCATCCAGAGGCCTTGGAAAAAGATCTATTCTGCCCATAGACCTCGGAGGTGGACTTAATAGTGTCCAGAGGCCTCAAAAAAAGACCCGCTCTTCATGGTGGGATGAACTGGGTGATATACAGTGCTGCATTCTACTTCACCATTATAGTCCACGGATGAATGCCCTGCCTCAGCATTTTTTTTTCCCCTTGGCTTTTTTTAAGATACAGTTATTGGGCTAGAAGCTGATAGCTCCCATAGCGTGAGGCTGCATGCATAACTTTGTTTACGCTGGAGCAAAGAGTTTCAAGTAATGGGATACCTTAGCAGTCAGGTTTTTCCTTTTCATAAGACTGTTGAGTTCTAGGCATGTGACTGACAGTTAATATATTATTGTCAAATGTTAACATAATGTAAGTCTTGTATCTAGTGTCACTTGAAACACTGCAGGTAGGAGTGGAGTGTCAGATGTATTCTGGATGTTTTGCAGGAACTTGTAGAAAAACTAACCTCTAGGTTTTAGAATGAATGGGGAGGAGTGGAGGTGAAAAGAAATGGAATTGCCAACATCTCCCAAAGTTCTTAACTCATGGAAACTTGTACAACATCAAAATTGGGACTCTTTTTCCATTCCCACCCAGAGAGGTTTCCCTCGGGTCACTTGTTACTTTGTGAAAGAAATATTGCTTGTTTTCTTTATTTAATTTTCAACAGCAGCAAGTCACAAAGCTAAACACATCAGTAAGCAAAACCTCCAATCCAAAGCTTGTCACAGCTGTAATCTCTGCCAAAATGTCATGGGAATCTACAGAGAAGAATAATATTCTCACTCAGTATGTTGGAGACCTGGAAAAGAGAACAGAGTGAGGTTTGGGAAGGAAATTATATTCATAGGAAAATAAAACATTTTTCATTTAAAAAAAAAAATCTTTAGTTTTTGCTGCCAGTAAGCTCTGGCAAAATAACAGTTCTTTGAGCAACACTATTATATTTATGTCCTAAAGCTGCAAAAAATTAGAAGGTTTAATTCCAATTGTACAGTCCAACCAGGCGTGTGATCCCAAGTTGATTGTGAGAGTAACAATCTAGTGCTTTCACTATGAGTGTAGTAACTGGTGCCAGTGCTCTCACAGGCAGAGCTTTCTGCCACCTCTGCACTGCATTGGAGTGTTGGCTGGTATGGGGAGTTGGGAACAGATGTACTCTAAAGCTCAGAATGGCTTTCATTTTCATATCAACACTTTTCCGTCTGACTCTGAAACGGCAAAGTCAGTACCTTGTTCTTTGTGTGAATGTACGCACTTAAAATATAATATTGAGGAACTGCAGTTTGTTACATCTTCTATCACCCAGAAGTGGCAGATTTTCTGTGTTCAGCTTGATACTATCTTCTGATGTCTATTATTTACCTGCTGTAACTGAATGAATCATTGACTCATTAGCCTTCTGTTGAACTGGTTATCTCAGCTACTCCAGCTATTTTTGACCTTTTTTTAATCTGGAAGAAACGCAGCAATATATAGACAGTAATACATGAGCAAAATAAACTTGCAGCTGCTTTGCATGTGCTTTTTGAAAATTGTGAGAAACAGATTTTTACACTGTTCAGCTGAAAGTAGTGAGAATCTCAAATATTGATGTGGAAAAAACTGGCAGTCAACAAGAGCAGACATGAATGAATAAAGCAGTGCATCCTGTTGCATAGGATGACAGCATGTAGAACGTTGGCCTGCCAATAATAATCAAAGATGATGCCCTTGGGAAGAGGAGGTGAGAAAAAATAGGGTGAGGAGAAATGATTGGTTTTTATTGCTAGTGCAGTGGCGCTGATGGGAAGGTCAGGTCTGGCTTTGGGAGTAAAATTAAAGTGTGTTAGAGAACTTAGAAGCTTGTTTTTCCCATTGGATTTGTTTCTGCTTTTGTTGAACTACGCAAGGCTTTTGCATGAAGTTCAACAGAACTAGAATGGCATTCCCCCTTTTTGCTTCTGTACAAACTAGTAGGGTTCATTCTTAATTTTAAATTTTTTTGTGTATGTTTAGAATAGAACCTTTGCAATTTCTTTTCTGAGACAGGGAGGAATCTCAGCTCTGTGTGCACATGCACACACATATTTTACTAAAGCTATAGACAGGAAAGCAGACTAAGGCAAAGGTTGATTTTTAAAGTCATTGTGGGACAAATAAGCTGCTGCTGTTCTTGCTGTGCTCATATTTCACCAGTTGTTGAAAATACGGTGAGAAGTTATGGAAGAGGAAAGCAGAGTTAATGTGTTTACTGGCAGAATAAAAATTTTCCGTAATGGTTTCAGACAGCTTTGTTTACTTTGTTTATTGTAATATATCTTAAAACAGGTGGCCTAATATTAAAAAAAAAAAGTCACCTGGGGGAAGCTTCCAAAGAATCAGCTCTTTGCAAGTGTCATGTGTAGTTTATTTGCCAGGGATTTTTCCCTGTTGGCTGATGCATGTTCACTGGCTCTACAGATCACACAATTACAGTTTTGTTAAATGTATCTGTCATGATAGTTCTTTTTGTCCAGTTATTATTAGCTTATTCTTGAAATTGCTACAATTATTTTGAGCTCATAAGCAAACAATCCAATTGTTCCAGGTTTAAGAAGGTATCTTTGTTATCTTGTCTGACTAATAAGGAACATTTTCTCTGAGGAAAAAATGGGTGGCTTCTGCATGTGAGATGCTCAAAAATTCCACAGTGTACCTGTGAAACTTCTCACACTTAAAAGCTCCCTGCTTCCATTCTTGTACTCTAGAAGATACGTATATATTCATATTTTTTTCCATATATCAATAAAGTAATAACAAAGCTGTTACGGAGCAAAAGGAAGTTATGCTTGCATTCTGCAAATGCATTTTGTTCTTGACAGTTTTTCTCGCTTGGTGCTTGAACGATAAGATCAGCAAAACTAATATAATGATTTATCTTGTACCTCTGAAGACTGTCTGTGCCAGTGAAAGATTGTATCTCACGCTACTAGAGCCACCTTGGCAGTGACTGCCTGGCTCTGGCCTCATTTTGCTGGTACAACAGCTGATTTCAGTAGGTTATATGTTAAACAGGTTGTTACTGGTTTGGGTAAGAGTTGCAAGAAACTGTGAGTATTTAAGCCTTACGTCAGATTTCAGGCTCAGCACTGGTTTATATGCAAGTGAACTGATAGAGGGTTAAACCTCAGTCACATTTATACTTGAGCATGCCATTTAGGTGATACAGTCTCAGAGCATAACTCACTGGTTATTTCATTTCCTCTGCAGTCTGTGATGTGAAGTCATGTAGTAGCTTAATCTGTTGCGGAGTTAATGAGCTCTCTTACTTTGAGTTCTAGCTCAGCTGATAGAAATGTATATACTTTTGTTTGAAATTCAATGAAACAATACGATTTCTTGCTAGGCAGCTGGTCTGTCTGTAGGTGATGACTAGGACAGTCAGAGGGAACAAACATACAGTCCATTTCTGCCTCATTGTTTTCCTACTACTAATAATTGAGGTCCTCCCAAGGTCGCTATAAAGTAATTATAATTGGGGTTGTTACTTTTGTTTCATTTGATCGGACCAGATTTTCCACTTCAGAACTACAGCCTATGGTTGTATGGAAGCACTAGAGTTCTGTACTTGGTGCTTGTTAAAGCACATTTGGGGTATAGTGTTCTGATCTTTTTTCATGCCTTGTGCTGATCCTTTTGAAGTTTGCATTATCTTGTTCCAATATTACAGTTATAAAATGGAAAGGGTGTTTACTATTTTTAAACTGGTTTTGAGCAGGTCCTGAGCTGCTTATTATTTTAGTATGAAATCTTTCTGAAGGAAAGGGTGTGACAAATTGAGGGAGGAAAAAAAAAAAGACCCATTTACTGCTAGATTGAGTGTATACCGATATCTTTCTACTTCATTAAAACACTTTGCAACATTTCCATAAGCAGATCTTTAAAAGAGTAAGCACCTGTGTGGTCCACAGTTCTCATTCGTGAGAATTTGTCGCATACTTCACTGAATTAGTACTTTTCATGAGTTTTGGTGGGACGTGTTAGGCTTCAAAGCCTAAGCTGTTCTTGTACCTACCTAATCAATCTAGAGGGTACCTTTGTACTCTTATAGGAATAGGTTGTATCTCTAAATCCCAGCTCTAATTATAGAACGTTAGTCCAGAATGAGTTTAAGGAGGGCATACTCAAGTGTATAAATGTGTTTATCCAGACACAGGGTGGAGCTGTGACCGCATCCTGTCACTTTTTGGTGTATTGTACCACTGGAGGCCTTTGAGCCATTCCACTCGCCCTGTGTAGAGATTTATCATAGGCCTGCCAATACTTCTGTTTTCTTCCCTACTTCTCAGAAGATGCTGTGTGCTACCCAGTTGCCTCATACTCTCTTTCATTTGACTCCAGAATGGGAAATGTCAGTGCTCTTCTTACGCAGTCACTAGTGAATGTGCAGACTGTCCACTGTTTCTGCAAACTGTGTAAGACTGTAGTCTTTCTGAAAATAGAAGTGCAGAGCTTTTATTCTCATTTAGTGTGAAATAGCTCTTCTTGAATTTTGCTTTATTTAAATGGCTGACTCTCAATATTCAAGAGAAGAACTGAGATGAATCCAATTAGTTTGCCCTAATTCTGAGTTGGAGTCATGCAGAGGTGCTAAGTTTTGTGGCTAAATGTAAGACTATGCCAGGACTCATTTGAGAGATTTGAAAACCTTTTGATGAACCTGTGGTGAGTGAGAAGTCAAAATGAAACTTGAAACCATATGACTTCAGATTTTACATTTGAAAAAAACCCATACTTAAAAAATGCTGTGAATCCGTTGGTTTGGCTGTATTTTCTGTCTTTGTTAATAATAAAATGAACATAAGGACAAATATTTTGAAGAATGCTAATAGCACTTACATTTATTTTATTTTTAATAGTTATTTTAAAATTAATTCTTCATGGAGTTCTATTAATTACAGAAAACATACAGGTAGAAGTTGTTTCACATACTTCTAGGGGAGTGGTTTGTATCACAGATGACTTTGGTTTTTGAGTAAGGATAGTTCCTAGGCAATGCCTTCTCATTGTTATTGCAGAAACTGATACCTTGACTGTGTGTATTTCTAAACTGTAAATGTCTTACTTTTATTTTTCTAACTGGAAGTATTTAGTACCTTAGTTTGTCTTGTGTCTGCAAAATTAGTTTCAATAGCTTTACTAGTTCTAGTTGAGAGAACATACCATACTTGTCTCCCTTCCTAGTTGGATGTGTAGGCTGCACATAAATAATTTTACTATAGAAAATAGTAAACTGATTTTGTAATCATTACTCATCTGATGAGTTTCTCGTCAGTCATGCTAAAGCCCCTCCTGTTGTCTGTGGAGACACAGAAAGGAAATAGAACAATCAAAAATCTGTTTTTATCCTCTCTACATAGCATTTATGGACACTCAAATAGCTGGATTTGAATTATAGTATTTCCAGTATTTCCATTATTTTAAGTATGGTATGCCACATGTGACTATAATTTGTATTCCTAGGTCCTTTGTCACAAGTATGACTTCAGCCTAACTTCAGTTATGACTGGTTTTAATCTTGTGGTTTGTGGGTCATTCTCCCCCCCACGCCACGCCCCTAGTTGTAGAGCTAGGTTGATACCAACAGTAGAAGCTTGAAGTTCTCTAAAAATATACTTTTCATATTATGGTAACTCTACCTTAGCATAGCTATTTTTTTACATTTTGCTAGTTTCCTAGAGCAGAAACATTTGTGTGTGTACTTTTTTTTTTTGCGAACTACCACTATAACGTTTCCTGTCAATATTGAAGTGTCACAGTTTTGATTCATGAGCAATCTGTCAATTATTGCTCATGCCTGTCTTGGTAGTGATCTTTGTTTCAGAATTTTTCTTGATCCTCTTATTCACTTGTACACAGTGTACTTGCACAGTAGAACGTGGAGTATTCCAGGTCCCAGGATTTACCATGTTACTGGAGAATGAATGTAGAGAAAGCTGAAATAACAGACTGTAGCTGATTGATTTAGAAGTTACTTTTGAAGCTAGGAATGAGGCTGGAGTAGGAAATGTTTTGAAGGCTTTTCGAAGGGTTACCAGAAGGTGCTTTTTTCTTTTTTTTTCATCCCCCTCTGCAAACTGGTTGTTGGAAGCAAGTCCCTTCCCAGAATTCCAGTTACTTTGGTTGACACCCATGTATTGGGAGAGATCCTCTGTCATGTAGCTCTCCCTTTAGGGGTGGAGTGCTAATATACATACAGTAACATGGATTTTAGTATATTGAGAGATGCTTTATTTAGCCATCTTGAATTTCGTTATATGAATTTCTTTGTTTCATGGAGATACCTGTACTTTTATTTAGTCATTCATGTATACTTTCTCTGTTTTTGTACTGTTTCTTCTAGGATAAGTTGGATATCCGACATTATTGTAGTGGTCTCTCCTGAAAATATTGAAACAATGAAGTCTATCATTGAAAAATACGGACACAAAAGAGTTACAGTAGTAAAAGGTGGAATAACTCGTCACCGGTCGATTTTCAATGGACTGAAAGTATTTGCAGAGAATGAATTTTCCAACCATCTGCTCCAGAAACCAGAAGTAGTGATTATCCATGATGCTGTGAGGCCATTTGTTGAAGAAGATATTCTTTCAAAAGTGGTAATAGCTGCTAAAGAACATGGGGTATGTACTATACAGCAATGCAACTTTGCAACGTTCTTTATACTGTATAGTGTAAAATCATGATTGATAAATAAGGATTTTTCTAGCAATTGTATTAATGTATTATGTTTATTTTTAAGCAGAACATTCAAAATACCCATTATGCAGAGGTCAGATGGGGGAGGTAGACACTTTTAAATGCTGCAGGCATTACTTGCTAGGGGGAGTAATTATTGTTATAGAGACTATCAGTAAGAGCTTGAATTAATCAGCAATTTGTTAGTTGAATGATAGATTACATAATTATAGTTTCCCTTTTTTCCATGCAGAATTCCTACCTAGTGTCAGAGTAGTTTGGTTAGTGATCAATAATAATAATAGCCAAAGAGAGAACTGCATTAGCTTACTTGCAAACTTTGTGTTTTCATCTCAAACTTATATGCAAATCCTCAATGAGTGGCAAGAGAGCTATCTCTGTATTAATACTAAATTTTTCTAGAATCTGTAAGCATTGCAAACTGCTGGGAAAAAGGGGAAGCAGGAAGTCTCCAGCCCTAGGTTGGAGATCCTTCTGGTCATCACTGCATCTGGGGACTGGGAATACTCACAGGAACCGGAAAGATTTCTGAAAAAGTAAGTGATATGTCAAGGGCAAGAGTTGGTAGAAGTTGTGTTGTGCAAGCAGAATGGTAGAGTTATTAAAGGCACGCAGTAGCAGCAAGAGGAACTGGTGGATCAACTGGCTGACTAAGATAGAGATGTAAGAAATCACGACTTAGCCACAGGCTTGTTTGTATAACTTGCTATCTTTACCTTGTACTTCATTTCTCTATTAATAAGATAGTAGAATGCTTCCCTACTTAAAGATGATTTGAGGTAAAAGTCATTAGTGACAGCAGATTGTTTGGGTATTAGAAAGCTAGGAAAATCAACCACTGCTTGTCTTTTTCAGGAAATGAGGTAAAAGATAAGCTAATTGACAAATGGCTCACAACTCTTGACAGGGGAGTAAAAAGTCCAAAGAATGAATTGTGGTATTTCCTTAGTGCTTCTCCACCTTTTTTTGAAAGCTCATAATGTAGAAGGGGAATGTACAGCTTGTTAAAATATTTATTATGAAAATTAAATGATGTAAGGTCTCTCAGAACATTATGTTAGAAATCTGAATATATTGAGCTTCTTACTGGTAGGCCTGTACTTCTATAGATTGGCTTAATGAGAGATGCCAATAAAATAGAAACTCTGCTCTATAGTTTTCAGTGATAGAGAACATAAGTTTCCAGTCATTAAAACTTAAATTCCATTAGAATTTTGGCAAGGCTTTTTACCTTTCTTATATAGCAAAAAATAGCATTCCAGGATTGATTCTATGCTAAAGACTTTAAAATAGATCCCGTTTGCAAATCTGTCTTAAATGTGATTCTTTGAGAGTAGTAGAAGAGTGGGTTAATTGTACCGATGTTGAGTTGAAATGAGAATAACTTTTTTCTGAACATGTTTTTGTTTAGGTGTCTTTGCATGTTATGGTATGTCATACCTCATTTGTCTTTGTCTTTAAGTTTTTTAACTTGTTCACTTTTCCTTGAAAATTGGGTGATTTTAATGTAAAATTTTTTTCCTGGTTTTCTTTTTAATTGAGTCTAAGATATTTTCAGTAAAACAGTAGGGAACCAAGGCAGTCTCCATTGACCTTCTCAAGGCAGTGTACTCTAGTTCACCTGCGCTTCTGACTGGTAAATATTTCCTTACCTAGATCACTGAAGTATCATTTGATCTCAAAAAGGTGATCTTACACATTTGTCATAGTCTTTTCCATTGTATAATGTCTGTCTGAAATGTACGTGGTATTTATTGGCTCTGTGGTGGCTTCCTGTGTTGGCTTAGATCCACTGAATTCAATGAAGCTAAGCCATCAGAGGACTGGACTCCAGAAGCTGTTTAGCTGTTGATGTTACCTGACAAAGTAATTGAATTAAGGAACATGAGACCAACTTAATTTTATGTAACAAATTGGAAAAGCTTCCTGCCAGAGAGAGGTGGCTATCTTCACTTAACAGCTACAGAATTCTGAAGAACTGAATGACTGGAAATCTAACACTCTCTCTCAAAACCGACATGCATGGTTTTGAATATCAGAAAAAATCTGAACGAGAGAAGCTATCATCTTTAGTTCCTCCTATAGTCAAATTCTTTGCGTATCTAAAAGGGAGTCAATTCTTCAATCTTTCAGTACAAAAAGTAATTACTTCCTTTTGCATTATGTGGAAAGGTACAAAACCTGGCAGAAACATCATATTAAATCACTAGTGTAATGGGGTATTGTTGTTCATCTGCATACCATATAGGTAGCATAATTATGAGAAGCTTTAATGTTCTTTAAAATGGCAATTGATCAAGTAAGTTATTGCACTTCTAGCTGCCAATTGTCAGACAAATAAACTGCTTTATTACACTTACTAATCAGTTTGTTATTTGCCTGTAGGAATCAAAATGTGCGCCTTATCCAGAACTAATAAATTATGCCTTAAATCCCCCAAACAATCCCTTGATTATGTGAAAATATTACTTTGTAACCAATTAAATTCCATTTATGTTTTGGGGGTAATTTTGTAATTAAAATTACATGTTTCTAGAAACAAATTCTTTATTGCTAGTAAAAGTTGGGAAAAGTGGAAGCTTCAGAAGGCATCAGTCCAAAGCCTCTAGCAACATCTCATTGCCAATATTGCATTTTAAACAACATAACTAAAAAGAAAAATGCTTACAAGAAAAAAATCAGGCAGGCGGGGGGGAACTTGTCAGTTCTGCTATTGAGAGTTAAAAAAAGTTACACACAGTCAAAGACTCTTTAGTTAACATAAACTAGATTTGAAAGTACAGTTTATTTATTTGAAAGGACTGAAACAAAATGACATTCTTAAAAGCTGGTTTCTGGAAGCTAACTTCACTACTTTATTCTTAGCTTTAGCAAGGATCTGAACAAAACAGATCTGGCAATACAGATGTACAGTGCTACTCAGTCTCATGGACTCTTACTCACATACAGAATCAGTCAAAATAATACCCCCAGACAGAAAATACTACATATTATGCTCGGTCTGTTCCTGTCTCTGAATTTACTCAGAATGTGCTGTGGTTATCAGTCTTACTGTATTGGAAGGCTGGAGCAGAAAACATGCACCTGTACACATACTGCTCTTTCACCCCGTTAGGTAGCAAAATAAAATGCTTTATGTATGATTGTTGAGTTGCATTAGCAAAATACAGTGGGTGGCGGTAAACCAAAAAACACCTTTTTTTTTTTTTTTTTTTTTCTCCACTGAAGGTGAAGCAGGACTTTGGTGGATAGATAGGCTGATCTAGTATGGTATACTTGAATATGGATGGCAATGCTGGAAGCAGTTCTGGTCACTGTCCTTTCTTTATTCTTTTTCTCTTAGAAGCAATTGTCTTTTTATGTTTTATTATCTCCCCTTTTTTTGCCATACATGGCATATCTTACACATGATTTTTGTCCTCTTTGTTATACTCAAAGACTGATTTTTAGCCAGCTTTAAAGGCTGCATCAGTAACAGACCATTTTTGATTCATATTTATACACTGGCTCATCTGTTCTCTGAGGTTCTGCTTTCATTGTATGCTTGATACTCTGGGGGTCTCCTGCTGTTCTGTCAGACAGTTGTGCAAAAGCAGAGTCAGGAACTGATGACATATTGCCATCTTGACATGAAGTTTATTCCACTGATGGAATAAGTTCTGTAGTTTAGGAGACCGACTTACGTCAATGTAAAAATACATATTAATGAATTATAGAGCAATTTTAGAAGAAAACAACATTTGAAGAGCTACATTATTGTGAAGATCAGAATCTATTCAGTAGCCCTGAAACATTTTTGAATGTGTGAAGAAATAAAGTGTGGTTTTACTGCTGTACAGAAAAAAGTTATATGATGCATTATTCCTTTTTCAAGTCTGTAGTAATGGATAACTATTGGAACATACTGATGTTTCCATAGCTTATGGCATTATTGGTCCCACAGAAAGTTATAATCTTCTCAGCAAAGTCATTAATGTAGTGTTTGGTGGTGGGAAAGCACTGGTAAGGGGAGAAACAGCTTTGTAACTTCCCAGTCTCAATTTAAGTGATTTAGGTGATTCATTGTATTCATTAGGAAGGATGCAACTCAGTAAACTGAAATATATAAATCAAGGCAGAAACTTACTTTATAATCTCCCTTTCTTCTTTGCAGCATTTCTGCATTGTAATAACAGAGCTAGCTGTGCCTAATACAATTAGTATTCAATCCTTTTTAAAAAGGTGACTTAATCCCACGTTTTGCAGCTTCTGGAAGTCTATACATACAGTAATTTTTTTTTTTTCTTTTAGGTAGGATTAAGTTATGCTAGAAATAGATTTTGAGAATAGCTTCCTGTACTTAAGTGGTTGCTGAGGTCATTCTTATGTAATGTCTATAAAATGTACCTCCTTTAAATTTAGAGAAACTATGTATATGATACTACTGTTGATTTGAGGCTAATTAAAATCGGTATGCCTCATCTGAGAAAACAATACGAAGCAGCCTCTAGCAGAGATGTGTCTGTCTAGTCACTCAGATTTCTCCTTCCTGCAGCAGATCAAAGGAGTAAAAAATAGTTCCTTAACATAAGGGAAATCTCAGCCTGTCCAGTGTGTGTGAGGAGCTGAATAAAGGCCTTGGATCATTGTAGTCACTTCTACATGGCAAGATCTGGAAAAGATTCTTAGCCATATCTCTCTGGCTAAGGATTAGGCATGCACAGCCCCCCCGAGTTTTTTTCCCTTTTTCACCAAATTTTGCACTGAAAAGAAATGTGTGTTTTCATTGAGAAATGCCCCCAGCTGCATTTTGGCTGAGTTTGTGATCTGGGTGGTTGTGGCAAGGACACCACCAGCCCTGCAGGTTAAGTGAAGCTTCTGAAAGCCAACTTGGCCTGTTTCATAGGCTGTAATAGTTTGCTGGACTGGTTCTGTGCTTATCTTC